ATAAAGAGCTCAAAAAACTTAACTCCAAAAAAATCAAAAAACCCAATTAATAAATGGGTAAATGAATTGAACAGACACTTCTCAAAAGAAGAAACACAAATGGCCAACAAATACATGAAAAAATGTTCAACATTAGCAATTAGAAAAATGCAAATTAAAATTACACTGAGATTTCATCTCACATCAGTCAGAATGGCAGTCATCAAGAATACAAATAATAATAAATGCTGGAAAGGACGTGAAGAAAAGGGAACACTTTTACACTGTTGGTTGGATTGTAAATTAGTATGACCACTATGGAAATTAGTATGGAGGTCCTTCAAAAGAGTAGTCATGGAACCACCATATGACCTAGCTATACCACTCTTCAGTATTTAGTCTAAACATTTAATCATACTACAGCAGTACATGCACACCCATGTTTATAGCTGCATAATAAACAATAGTCGAAATATGGACCTAGTCTAGGTGTCCATCAATGGATGAATGGATAAAGAAGATGTGATATATACACACAATAGAGTTTTTTCTGTTACAAAGAAAAATGAAATTATGTCATTTGCAGGAAAATGGGTGAAACTAGAGACAATCATGTTAAGCAAAATAAGCCAAACTTAGAAGGTCAAGGGTTGTATGTGTTCTCTCATATGTAGAAGTCAGGAAAAAGGAAAAGAAAGATGGAGTGGGGAATCTCAAGAAAATCAAAGGAAGATCAGTAGAGGAAAGGGATAAGGGGGTGTGAGGCGGGGGTGGTAGTGCTGGGGAGTGATACTAACCAGATTATATTGTCATATTTTGTATATGTATGAATACGTAACAACAAATCCCATCATTATGTGCAACTATAATGCACCAATAAAAATGTAGAAAGAGAAAAACAAAAACAGAAGAGTAACTGTGTGGGGTGATAGGCTCTTGGTCCTTTCTTCCTTTGCTAGATGGCTAAATCAGATGTTTATGAGGAGGTCGGTTTATGGGGCTCAAGTGCTTGCTAACCAGTTATGTTGGTAAATGATTGGCTCAATAAATATGCATCACAACTGTATGCCAGTCAGGTGCTAGGTGTTGGAAATACAATTGTAAACATGAAAGACCAAGGGCCTTGACCTCTTGAGATTTTTAGCCAAAGCAGGGAAATGGAAGAGAGAGAAGTACTGCAGCAATGATAAATGTACTATATGAAAAAAAAAAAAAAAACCTACAAAATGAGAGAAAATCTTTGCTAGCTGTATTCTCAAGCTGGCTTTCTCTTTGGGAATATTTCTCTCAATGAGATTATCCAAAGAACCTTTCTAGTGATCTTTTCTTGCTATTGAGAATTCTCCTTTGTCACAGAATGACAGGGGATCCTTTCTGTCCAAATCTGGATGCTTGACTTTTTTTATAATTTAATTTTAATTTGTCAATATACCTTTATTTTTAAAAAATTTATATGTGGTGCTGAGAATCCAACGCAGTGTCTCACACATGCTAGGCAAGCATACTAACACTGAGCTACAACCCCAGCCCATAAACGCTTGATTTTTCTGCAGTTTTTTCTGTCGTGCAATCTATCACCCCAGCCATCCCATCAGACATTTTTAAAATGCCTACATAATAGCAAATGTGCAAGATGTGAGACCAATTATTTACCATTCAGAAATTTTTATTTGACATAATCATTTTTAATAAAATTATATATAGGCACAATTTGTGTCCAGAGGCCCTTTTTATGCTTAGATTATTTTAAAAAGTATTTATTGAACTTTTCTCAGAATATAAGAGGAAATACACGATTCATTGTGCAAAATTTTGGAAAACATAAAGGAAGAAATAGTAATTATGTAATCTTGTAGCCTAAGGTAAGTCATTATTAATTTTTTTGGGTGTGTTCTTCTAGTCATATACTTGCAAACAAATTGGGATCATACTCACTTTTTACTTTACTACAGTGTGAAAATGTTATCAATCTTCTTTGATATTTTTTGAAGACATGATTTTAAATAATGGCATAACATTCCATTTTCAAGGTGAACCATGGTTTCTTTGATTAGTTTCTTATTGCAGCTGGTAGTGGCCTCTTTATAAGTCAGCAAGTGCTATCTTTTTTTTTTTTTTGGTAGTTGTAGATGGACAGCATACCTTTATTATTTGTTTATTTTTATGTGATGCTGAGCATTGAACCCAGTGCCTCATATGTGGTAGGAAAGCCACTGAGCCCCAGTCCCAGCCCAGAAAGTGCTATCTTTATCATAAACTGTAAGAAGGCAAGAATCAAACATCTAATTGTCTTTAGGCAACACTCACAACCAAAAAATATCTAAAGTAATTTGATTATACATATACTGTGTTCCTCTAATTACCACTTAAAATAAAAGCAGTAAGACTGCCTAAATTGCAGCTCAGTTTGTATAAAAGTAACTGTAAGCTCTGGACACGTTGGGAGGATAACCTAGGGTCATCATATTCCTTATGCAGAATTGAGCTTTGTTTAAAGTCATAGAATTCCTAGGAGCCACCCAGTATCTCTAACCTCTTTTTCATAGGTGAGGCAATTGAAACAAATATTGTTTTCTGCTGAGACTAATACCCATGTCTCTTAACTTCCTTCTTGTCCTATGCTCTTTTCACTACAATCTGCAGACTAAGCTTATTCTTAAAAATACAGAAAGAAGATACATTTATCTACATGTTGTTATGGGAACCATTTCCCCTTATAGTTACATGCATGCTGGCACAAAAATCTCATGGTAAGATCCTAGGTATGCATCCAAGAGAATGCAAGCATATGTCCAAAGACTTGTACATGAATGTTCATAGCAGCATTATTCAGAATAGGCAAATGGAAACAATGCAGAGTGTTGTATTTTCATACAATGTAGTAGTCAGCAATAAAAAGTAATGAAGTAGTTAAACATGCACAAATGTGGATGAATCTTGAAATAATTATACTGAATAAAGATACCAGACAGAAGAATGCAAATTGTATCCTTATATTTATCTAAATTAAAGAAAATGCAAAGTACTCAGTAGAGGCAGAAAGATCTTGGTTACCTGGGTATGGGACTGGAGTAAGGGGGAGTCACAAAGGGATAAAGGAAACTTTGGAGGGTAAGAGATTGTAGAAGTGGTTTTTGGGTTATATACATGTAGCACTTGACAAATTGTACATTTTAATTATGTGCAACTTATTGTATGTCAATTAACTCATGAAGTTTAATTTGTGAGATCTCCCTTTTAAATTTGAGAAGCAGTGACAAAAAAGTCACTGAAATATCTGAAGCACAAGAAAACTAAAATTACTTCTCAGATAACTGACAACCAAGGTTCCATTCTAGCATGATAGTTTATCTGAAGAAAACATTACTATGAGAAATGCAAAGTCATAAAAATAAAAAATAGAAATGACATTTTTGTCCCTCTGGTGATCATGCCATTTCCTCATGTCTGTACAGTTCTCTATATCATAATCTTTTCAGTGTTCTATTCAATTTGGTTTTTTTAAAGAGCAATAACCTTGTTGTATTTTTCCTTAACTATTAAGACTGTTGTTTTATGTACAAGATGGCCAGTCGCGGTGTGTGTACGTGGGTGGGTGTGCAGTAAAGCTACACTGTATCCATAAATTTTAGCAAATGCTGTAATTTGTTTTGGTATTTTGTAGTCAGGACTCAACAGCGGCACCAGAAACAAATTGGAAATTTCTAGAAACCATACCCTTTCTACAAGATGAATGCTGTAGAGTTTTTCTAAATATAGGCAATAATCAAAATTTTCTTAGATTATCTATGTACTGTTTTAAAACAAAGAACTGCTATCACACACATATAGTCCACAACACCGGTAGTATTTTTAAATCCCTTTATTAAAGATTGTTTCCTAAAACACAGAAAGTTTTATTTTCAACCCCCCCACCCCCGCCACCCCCTTATTTTTTTAGTTTTTTTTTTTTTTTTTCCAGTTATTACTCCCATTCTGCAGACAGGGAGGCGCATACAGGTTTTGTTTTTGGGTGTTTTTTTTTTTTTTTTTTCCACAGTGCAGAGGGGCAAAGAAAGAAGCAACTCTCAACTTTTCAGTTCCATTTTGAGAAACGATCACATCCAACTCCAGAGACGCGACAGCCCGGCGAGTGCAGAAGCAATTCTCCCCAGGCTGGGTGTGGGTCGGGAGCCAGGCGCGCTTCCGCGGGAGAGAGGGGGAGTCAGGTGGCAGCGGAGCGGGAGTCGGAGCTCGAGCAGCGCGGCGGGGGCGCGAGCCGGCGCGCCTCCCGCCGGCGGGCGCGGGGAGGCAGTCCCCGCGCTCGCGAGTTCGCCAGCCCCAGGCTCCCGCGCCGCGCTGCGATCCGCGGGCGCGCCAGGGGCGCCCCGGCGCCCGCGCCTCCTCCCTCGCGCGCCCGCTCCCTCCCCGCCCCCCGCCCCCGGCAGGTCCCTCCCCCCATGCCTGCTCCTGCGGCCGCCGCTGCCGCCGCCGCTACCGGAGGCGCAGGAGCCTCGCGATAGTGTTTGCACAGGCGGCGCGTGACGCTGCCGCCGCCTGTAACTGATGCAGAGGTTACCCCGCCGCCTCAGCCGCCACCCACCGCCCGCCGCCGCCGCCGCCGCCGCCGCCACCCGGGCGACGCCGGGGGCCGACGCACTGCAGAGGTGCCGGCAGGTTCCGCCCGCGGAAGTCTTCTCGGCCGGCGCAGCCCGCGCTCCGCCCGCGCTCCGACCCCGGCCCGGCGGGCGCCCCCTCGACGCCTCTGCCGCCGCGCTCCCTCCCTCCGCCTCTTCGGCGCGCCCGCCCGCTCCCTCGCTTCTCCCCCCTTCCCTCCTCCCCGTCCCCTCTCCTTCCCTCACCTCTTCCCTCCCCACCTCCCCTCTTCTCGGTTTCCTCCCCCATCCCCTTGACTCTCCCCTCCCAGCCCTCGCTCTCTCGCTCGCCCTCAGCGCGGCCCCCGCCATGACGGAGGCGGGTGCCGGTGCCGTTGCCGCCGCTGCCGTCGCAGGGGGGGAGTCGGGTTCCCAGAAAGTAGCTTGATGAGTGTCCAAAGTAGCAGTGGAAGTTTGGAGGGGCCGCCATCTTGGTCCCAGCTCTCCACGTCTCCAACCCCGGGCTCGGCGGCGGCGGCCAGGTCCCTGCTGAATCACACGCCGCCATCCGGGAGGCCCAGGGAAGGTAAGCGCCGCCGCGCCCGTGCCCGCTCGAGGGCCTCCCTTCCGCGCCGCGGACCCGCGCCCCGCCGCTCCTCCGCCTGACCCCGGGGTTGGGGGTGGTGGCGAGGTGGACGCGAGGCCGCCCGGCCCCGGGGAGGTGGTGCGCTGGCTGTGGGTGGTGGTTCGCGGGTGGCGGAGGAGACGGACGAGGGGGTGCGTGCTGGTGGGGATCGGGTGAGGCGCACAGACTCGCTGGGGTTCCAAGGAGCCAGTACTGCGAGGGTGGGAATTCTCCCCCTGGACGCGAGCCTCTTTCTGCTCCATTTGCTAGTACACTCAGTACTCTTAACCTCCTGGCCTCCGGTCTCTGGTGGGCTTTCCCTCCCGTTGGAGCATTCATCTTCTAGCCCCCTCCCCTTCCCCCGCGCACTCCTCCCATAGAGGCGGTCCCCACTCTGCGAGGTTTGCGGCCCCGGACCTGGAGGATGCCCTTCGCTTTCTGGGTGCCTGCCCTTTGGGAGAGGCGCTGAAATTATTCTGGCAGACTTTGATCCCCAGCGTGGTCCCCTAGAGCAATTCAAACGACAGACTGACTCGTGGGCAGGCTGTTTAAACCACCCCTCCAGATGGTTGCAACTTTCTCTTCTTCGCCATCGCCTCCTGCGTGTTTGTGCGTTATCTTCTCGAGTGCAAGTAGGCTACTGTTCCTCTCTGACAGGGTTGTGGGTTTTGTGGGAAATGTCTGCGTAAAGGTTACTGCAAACACGCACCAGATCGGTTACAATTGTTTTCTAAGTTTTCTGGCTTCTTGCATGCAAGTGTGCTGCCACCAGATGTAGCAGTTACACAGCTAGTAAGGCAGAGGAGAGTGCTTTTGACTAAAATTTCAACTTGCTGTATTTAACTTTAAGTATACGACATAAAATGGAATTTGGGAGAGCACGCATTTATGGGGGAAGAACAAATGTGGATCGAATCTCTTTTAACGCTCTTTTGTCTGGAAAATGCGTAGCGGTATTCATCAGCAATTGGTAAATGGGTTGTTCACTCCCAGTTGTCTCACACAAGGAGATTATAGGCACATTTCAAAAAAAAACAAAAAACAAAAAACGTTTGGAAGTCCAATAGTCTAGTAAATCTTTTAAAGAAATCAAGAGCTTCGACTTACATAGGAATCGGTGGGATTAATTTATTCTGAAAATATCTGTCGATATTTACTACTAAGAGCCATGACAATTGTTAATCAAGTGTTTTGTGCCCCGAATCCAGTGGTTCAGGCATAGCATTCTTTGTCATTTTGTTCCTGTGAGCATGTGTGAAAGTGACAATAGGCTCAAAGATTGGCATGAATATGCTCTAGAAAATTCATGGAAAGGTTTGATTTATGGCATCCATTAAACATGCCTACTACATTGACAGACAATTTTCCCTTTTATCTATCCCAACACTGATTTTTCATTATTAGAAGGTAAAAGCTTAATTTATTGAATGACTGAAATTTAATACATCTGATGATTTTCTTGAAAATTTGTATTTTTAAATGTGATTTCTGAATAGAGCAGTTGGTGCTTTTAGCATAATTTTACTTGTGTGTAGTTTCATTAAGGTGCTTAATGATAGTAAAAGAAAGAACATTTTATTTTTTGAAACTCTTTGTATCATTCACTCATCGATTTCTCAGGTACTTATTGGGCCATTACTATGAACTAGAACCTGTACTAGATACTGAGGGCATAATGTTGAATTGTTCAGTCTGTTGATATCTGTTATCAGTATTGGAAATTTGGGAGTCACAAAATCTAGATGGTGAGTTTCTGAGGTAACTTAAACTCTAGTTAAACTTCTCATTTGTATCTACTATTCTGCACTTTTCCTGATGTTTGAAAAACTTTGAAATTGTTGGAATAATGTAGCTTGAACTTCCAAATAACCAGATTTTTTTGTAGCAGTTTAGATGACAGTAGATTTTTTTTGTAACCTATAGCAATGAGTTTTTGTTAATTAATGAAATAATAGAGTATACTTTTGTGAAAGTTATACTTCACATCAAATACTTATTTGGAGTGGGGGAGTATTGGAGATCAAACCCAGGGTATGAATTGTGCCAGGCAGTGTTCTACCAATGAGCTTTCACCCTTAGCCCTTACGCCAAGTACTTGTATGGCCACTGTGGGATATTTCTTTTTGAATAACCAGCATGTAAGGTAAAACTGTGTTAATCCTCTAGGGTTATTTATTCATTTTGAGATTTTGTGGTATACTCTCAGATTTCACTAATGCTAATAGGAATTGTATATGTGAAGCACCAAATATCAAGATGAAGAAGTTTGCTGTTCAGTGGAGTCCCAGTTTTTATTTTAAGAACGGATTTAGCTCCTTTTGTAGGAACATGTTAATATGCTTCTTAAATAGAAGGTTTTTTTTGTGTGTGTGTTTTTGTTTGATTTTGGTACTGGAGATTGAACCAAGGGGCACTTTACCAAAGAGTTGCATTTCCACCCCTTTTTATTTTTCAGTTTTAGGCAGGATTTCACTAAATTGCTGAGGGTTTTTCATAGTTGCTGTGCCTGGCTTCAAACTTGCAATCTTCCTGCCTCAGCCTGCCGAGTTGCTGGTGTGCAACACCTGCATAGCAATGAATTGAAGTTTGAGAGCGCTTTTAACTTCAGGTTACTGCTTGTAAGAACTGTTACTATTAGTGGAATTTGAAAGAATTAAATGTAAATATCAAGACGAGAACAAACTTTGTTTCTTGAAAAATTGATCCAGTTTAACTTTACATATAGTAATAGAAAAAACTTCAAAGTATGTACATATATAAATATTTTATTTGTGATGAACTCCTTTTAAGAAAATTTAACTTTGAAAATGAGTTAAAGATATGGATGGCAATAAGTATCTGTGGAAGTTATTTGTTCTGAAATTTTGACATTTGAGACCCAAAATCTAAGATGATAACCTGATTATTATTTTTATTTTTTTTTTTTGTGTGTCAGGGATTGAACTCAGGGGTGACTTACTGATACATCCCCAATTCTTTTTATTTTTTTAACTTTGAGACAGGGCCTCGCTAAGTTGCTTTGAGTATCTTTCTAAGTTTCTGAGGCTGGCGGAGAATTTGGCTGTCCTCCTGCCTCAGCTTCCCAAGTAACTGGGATTACAGTGTGTACCACTATATCTGATATAATCTTTTATTATTAATATTATTATTATTATTTTATTTTAGGGGCTCTCAACCATTGAGCCACATCCCCAGCCCTTTATTTTAAAAATGTATTTTATTTAGAGACAGGGTCTTGCAAAGTTGCTTAGGGCTTTGCTAAATTGCTGAGGCTGGTTTTAAACTTCTGATCCTCCTGCCTTAGCCTCCTGAGCTGCTGATTATTTTTAATGCTCTATATTTTGACTTTCTTCTTCCCTTTCTTACCCTATTCCTATTATCATGGTCATATAATTTTATTTGATTTACAGGTAAAATACAGCTTTAAACATTAAGAGATTTAGGAATCTAGTTGAATTTAGGAATTTATCTGTCAAATATAGTATAGACTATTTTCTTTCCTTTGGGTCCTGAAGCTTTTTTTTTTTTTTGTGGTTCTGGGATTGAACCCAGGGCTTCATGCATGCCCCAAAATGCCTGCAGCTTCTTCTTTATCAATCTTTAAGTTCTCTTAGAGGTACTCAGCAGTGTAGCTCTTGATTTTCTTATTTATTTTTGTGTCAGGGATTGAACCCAGAGGCCTTAACCACTGAGTCACATCCCCAGCTCTTTTTATATTTTTATTTTTTCTTTTGAGACAGAGACTCACTAAGTTTGCTTTCTTGCTAAATTGCTGAGGCTGACTTGGAACTTGCAATCCTCCTGCCTCAGCCTCTCAGACTATAGGCATATGCCACCATGCCTGGACTAGATTTTCTGTTGAGCTATTGAACCTGTAATCTCCATCTCATTTTGTCTTCTATAATCCTGTAATTTAAAAGGTAGGGAGTAAAGAAATTAAGTAAGTTTTCAAATAATGGTAAGTTTTATTTTGTTGAAGTTCAGGAACCTAGTGTGTGATATTGACTAGATAAGTAGATGGGTTCTTTTTTTTTTTTAAAAAAAAAAAAAAAAACAACAACACGTCAGCACAAGGTGTTTTTTTTTGGAACTGGAGATTGAACTTAGAGGCACTCAACCAATGAGCCACATCCTCAGCTCTATTTTGTATTTTATTTAGAGACAGGGTCTCCCTGAGTGGCTTAGCACCTTACTATGGCTGAGGCTGGCTTTGAAGTCATGATCCACCTATCTCAGCTTCCTGAGTTGCTGGGATTACACATGTGGGCCACTGAACCCTGGCTGTAAAGGTTACTTTTGAATGAGTTAATTGCTGAGCATCAAATGATTGATTATATAAAATACTTGCAATTTTTTCCTTTACCATCTTGTCAGTTATGAATAATTTGTTTCACTTATTTTTTTTTATGTATTATTTATAGATGACAGTGGAAGGCATTACAATTCATTACACATAAAGAGCACAATTTTTCATAACTCTGATTGTATACAAAGTATATTCACACCAGTTGGTATCTTTATACATGCACTTTGGATAATGATGTCCATCACATTCCACCATTATTTCTAACCCCATGCCCATTCCTTCCCCTCCCACCCCTCTGTCCTGTTTAGAGTTCATCTATTCCTCCCATGCTTCCCCTTCCTACCCCACTATGAACCTCCTTATATCAGAGAAAACATTCAGCATTTGTTTTTTTGGGATTGGCTAAATTCACTTAGCATTATCTTCTCCAACTCCATCCATTTACCTGCAAATGCCATGATTTTATTCTCTTTTATTGCTGACTAATATTCCATTGTGTATATATGCCACATTTTTTTAATCTGTTCATCTACTGAAGGGCATCTAGGTTGGTTCCATAATTTAGCTATTGTGAATTGTGCTGCTGTAAACATCCATGTGGCTGTGTCCCTGTAGTATGTTGTTTTTTAAGTCCTTTGGGTATAGACCAAGGAGA